GATCTGTGTAGGCACTACCGTTATCTATGGTTGTGATTGCTGAATACTGACTGAGTGCAATCCGGAGTACAAGCGGCTGAGTCCAGGTTTCTTCTTCGAAGGAATGCTGGTGTGACGGGACTCAACAAACTCCGAAATATCTTCGGTTGTGATACATTTCTTCTGCAATTCGAGAAATCGCAGTTTAGATGGTTTAATTTTATGATGAAGATGGTTCAGGAGAAACACTTGGCAAAGCCACATGGAAGACGACTCAAGGTCAGATAATAAGCCTTATGGTTCGATTATATAGATCTGACATTTTCGCATCTTACATGCTGATCACGGAGAAACAATTGAAAAGGCTTCTTGAAGCAGCTGGCTACGCTACCTAAAAAGAATGACGGGCTTTCGAAATTAGTGGATGTATTCACATTAATCAGCGGAAGCTCTTTAGCATATGAAGAAGTCAGTTATTATTTTAGCGTATTTCCTGATATCACCCAGAACGCATTGCTCTGACAAAAATATAATTAATGAATAAATTTTTTCTACCCTAGTGATTTAGGATATATCGGTGACCAAAAATATGGCAGTAGCGTGATAGGGAAAACGTAATGACTGTGAACACCTGAGCGACTACGATTGCCACAAAGACTTCGCATTACCCGCAAGATGGCCACCTACTGAGTCCGTGGACTCTGTGTTTACATATTCTAAGCCTTCCATTTCTTCTTTTACTAGTTATTGGAATTGGTTACGGGTTCTGTCCGGTTTTATGTTATTTTATAAGTTGTTTGAATTTCTGTTATTATTCATGACTTCAACTCTCCACATTTTCGACATGAAGAATTTAAATACATTGGCATACTAAAAATAGTTATACCTGATTTAGTTTTACTTATAAATAGCTTTGAAAATTGCTAGTTTTAGTTTTGGCGCAAGCTCATCACAGTCAGATGTTTGTATATTTTATCATAGCACAAAAATAAAATTTGTTTTGGCCTGCCACACCAGATTGCGTTCTCCCATTAGTGGATTTGAGCAGAACTGTTCGTTTTCATTGAAACTATAATTTGAGAGTTTTAACAACTTGAAGGAAAATGATCTAACCTTTGTGATACTGCCGTATTTTTATGTATGATTTCTTTTCCAAAAATGTCTGCTGATGGAAAAGCATGGATTACTTGTAGTAACAGCCATTCGTGGTTCATTGTATTATTCATTTTCAGCCGTATGCAGTTACACAACGTCGATGGATTGACATTTGTTACAATCTTAATTTCAGTTCAACACTCCCATAGAGCAACGTGTGTAGTGTCGTAAGGAATCATTCCCCTGAAGGGGGCACTTGCTTTTTATAAGGCAATAATTTGGACAGGCAACCGAAGGGGTGATACTTTATTTAACCCTAGTTTTTTGACACTGGTTAACAGTGGAGATTTTGGAACTGATGTGCTTAGATTAGCTGATCTCCAGTACTGCTTTACCCGCCTCCTACATTTGCGGATATTCTGTGCGGATTGATTCTCACTGGAGGAATCCACAATCATTTAATTTAGCGGCTTCATTCATTCATATTTTCTGAGTGCACATGATATAACAAGTATTCCGTTGCATTTTTAGGTATGCTGTCGTCATTCTGTTGCTATACAGTTCACCGTTTTAGGATGGCCGAACGCCGCTGCACCTTGCACTTCAACACCGCCAGGTTGAAATTGCACTTGTTCTCCTCAAACGAGTTTCCAATTTGAATAGTCAGGATAAGGTAAATGTGGCGTGTCGCTATATTGTCAGCTATTTGCAAGTTCGCAGATGTAATTTTTCAGGATGGTAACTCATTGCTGCACGTCGCCGCCTATGAAGGCGTGCTGCCTGTGGTTCAGTTTCTGTGTGAATCTGGTGTCAGCATTGATGTGTTGAATCACGTATGTGCGTGCTGCTTCCCTACAATGGCCGATTGTTTCATTTACCTTGCTTTTTCAGGATAGCATGACTGCTCTACATTTAGCCTCGATCGCAGGCCAGGATGAAGTAATACGTGTTCTTTGTCTGAATGGCTGCAACATTGATGTCAGAAACAAGGTTTATTCATGTTTCGTGCTAGAACGTTTATTTTATGTCAGATCTAGGACGGATTAACAGCCGAAAATCTGGCACGCCTTTATCATAACCTGGAAATTGCTGATCTCCTGAAAAAACTGAAAAGCGTAAGTTTTCCTTTCACCTTAAACTATGTTTTTTTAACGTAGTTCTCGTTCTCGTAGTTTAACGTTCTCGTTGTTCCGTGTTTCCATTTTCTTTATACCCTTCAGCTGCTTGCACTTCACTTATGTTTCAGCATCAGCTGCGCGACTTGTTCATTCAGCAGATGGTACCTAGCGGCAGTCATATGCGACGGATCAAGCTGAAAGTGTTCGGTAGTTGTGGAGCTGGCAAAACGAAGCTACTCGAGGCTCTTCGTTCAGGTATGATCGGTAACTTCTTCCGTCGCATCAGCTGTAGTTCTCCTCGTGGTATGAAATTAATAATTTGACACTAGCTTCTTTGTACAGTTGTCACTTATTTTCAGAGGAACTGAACCCTTTGGAGAAATTGGCGAATCGTGGCGATATGCCCTTTCATTCGAACTACACAAAAGGCATTGAGGTTTACAATGGTGCCATTCAGGGTATGGTGAATGCAGTAGATATCCTCTGACGTTGAATGCAAAATGTATGTTTAGGCGGGAGTGAGTTCTCGTTTTGGGAATATTCCGGTTTCTCTTCTTACTTTTGCGTTTATGACTACTTCATTGGCGACGTCAGTTGCATTCATCTGATCGTGTTTCGCGTCACTGATTCGATGGAAGTGCAGTATCAGACAATATTATTTTGGCTTAACTTCCTGAAAAATTGTTTGCCGTCATCAGAACCAATTGGTTAGTCTACTAATATAACTCATTTTATGCTGTTGCACAGGAGGAGCATCATCGACTGAAACAATTTTACTTGAGGAACATTAGATTGTTCTAGGAACAGAATAATTCGAAATACGCATACCAGGTCAAGTGCTCAAATAGCCTGGCGCTGTGGCCTGTTTAAATGGCCTCTGAGAAAGTATGAGCAAGGGTGGTGATGCGATAGGGATCGATTTTACCGTAATTTTGCTAAGAGAATTCTAATATGAGTTGCTTCTGTAACATCCTCGATATATGTCCAATCCATCGCAGTTTTATCTTTCGACATTGAGGAGCGGCACACAATGGAAAGTATCTCACATTGCGTGCTGCGAAATTTGCTGAACCTCGCTACACCAAAAATCTTTCCAAAAAGCCCCATTTCCATCGCTTACATCCCCATTATCACTCTTTCGTCCACCATCCCACGCGTGATTATAGATGACTGTGCGTATGTAGGCTGATTTGGCGACAGATAGTGTTTGCTGATTGGCTGCTTCTTCATTGCCAGACACCGATTGGGCTATCGCATTACACCGATCACCTGGCCGATCCATGTTTCTGTTCTAATGTTGTGCCTGCTATTACTCATGAATACCATCGCGAGATACTTAACTGCTTTTGCCTGTTCCGGTTGCACTTCACTTATCTACAGAGCATATTCAGTTGTAATTTTGTAGAGTCAAAGGCCTGTTTTGCTCAGGCAGATTTTCGCCCCACCCTTATCGCATTTAGCGGCAAAGAAATTAATTATCCCGTTGGATGTAATTCTTGGAGGAAGCGAGTTGAAAGAAATCATCCTGAAATAACAGATGTGCCGATCTCCTCATCTAGATTGCATCTGATCCAGTCCATGGATGACATGAATAAGAGACTAGAATTAGAGAGGACTGTGAGTAGGATTGAAGAAGACTGAACAAGAGTATGAATAAAGGAGGAAATAGCACACGTCCTTAATGAAGATCAACGTACATTGTTTAAAGCATCGTCATCTTGCCATCTGTCCGAACACAGGCCTGTGAGCAGTCGTGTACGAATTTGATAGCATCCATTAGCTCATCGTCTTCCCATTATTCCTGCTAAACTCTGTAGTATGGAATGGCATTTTGTGTCATAAAACTTGTTTTGGTGTGTGAAATTAGCGTACCCTCATTCACGTATCAGAAAGCGTGGGCATGCAGTGTAATAAATCACGCGGGAAAAAATTGGATGTTCTGCTGAAGTCAGTTAATGTAGATCTCACATTCTGACAACCTTTTTTTCAGATAGTGAGTTATTTGGTTCGTCAAGCGCGCTTTCGCATCTGCAGTTGCCATTTTTCGTTGATGCATAAACTGACTGTCGCATTCCCGACTTTCTGTTCGATTATGGGAGTAGCAACAATAACAGTTTATTGCTTAAATTCGAACATGACGGATATTGCTTTTCAGTAAAACATTCATCATAATCATCATCAGGATTTGTCGATCCACGGCTATACGAAGGCCTTTCCAAATGGGCTTCCATAATATCTGTGAAGGTGACGTCGTCGAGCTTAATTGTGCAGAGAGTGATTGCGCAGTCACTTTTGGAAGGGGGTATCGATAATAAAACTGTCACTCCAAGTGGCGACTGTGCGCTTTTCAAGAAGGGAATCTGCGCACTGACCATGAACGTTTCAACAACTGAAATAAATTGGCTTTAGCGCTGGTCTATTGTATTTTATTGGTAGCAGTGCGTACTTTTATCTTGACAGGATAGGCGAGAGGAATTCAGGATAATATGGCAGTCGAGAGATTCACTAGAGTTGTTATCACTGTGCAGTACTCTTGACTGATATAAGATACCTACAGGCATGTCGTACTACCTTGCTAATTTTTTCTAAAGCTGATATTACCTAATTTCTGTCTCGGTAGATTCCACCCTTGGGGGATAGGTGACGTCGTTGCCTTGACGCTGGGAGTCGTAACGTGTTAGCGCTAATAAGTGACATTTGTTCTTTCGGTGATTGGCGTTATCAAACGGTGTCATGTGAAGGCGTATGAAAGAATCTCTGACCGGAGAGTGCTCATCTTCATCTTCCATCGCCGCTTCTCCTTTCGGGTCGCGGCTGCAGACACGTCAGAGAGACCTTCCAACATTCCCGATCCTGTGCCAGAGTCTGAGCTTCGGCAAAACACAAATGGAGTCTGGAATAGACTCCTTCCGTATATTTGTATCAGGTTAATCTTGGCTGTCCCCAGAGTCTTCTGCCGGTCGGATTTGTAAGGAACAATTGTTTAGCCTTCCTTTCTAGAGGCATTCGCAACACATGCCCAAGCCATCGCAGCTGTGATTTCTCAATCTGGAGAAGCAAAGGCTATATTCCAAGGCTCTTCCAGATGTCACTATTCCGGACCATGCCGGGACGCATAAGGCCAGCGACTCGTCTAAGAAAGCCCATTTCAGCAGCTTGTACTCAGGTTCGAAGTTTTTCACTGACGGTTCATGACCGTAGGTAAGTACGGGCATAAAGATCGACTTCAATATCCAGAGCTTAGGTTTCAGTCTGATTTCTGCTTTAGTCACAATCGGTCGGGGTAGTTCACGCAGAACGCCACTGGCTACTCCAATTT